CCTCTGTACCAACACACACACAACCCCCAAAACAAAAACTAAGCTTGAAAATAAAGTCCAGGTGCAAAAAGGTTTGGATGAGAATAAATGAAATGAACTACTCTGCATTTGGAGTTCAGGTTTCAATCATCTGGACCTTTGCCCAGTCTACTAGTAGTAAAGTAGCTCATTTTGTAGATGGCCAGATGACCGGTTGAGGGCTGGGAGCAGGTAGAATTGCTCTGGCTGCACTCTTTTTTTTCTTCTTCTTCTTTTAAATTTTGTTTTATTGTAAAGATGTTGTACAGAGGAGTTACAGTTACATGAGTAAGGTAATGAGTATGTTTCTTGTGGAACATTGTTAGCCTCCTTTGTTTAAAAAATTACTTTTAGATACTTCTTTTTTAATATATATTTTTTGTTGTAAAGATACTGTGCAAAGGGGTTGCAGTTACATGAATAAGGTAATAAGTACACTTCCTACAGAGCACTGTTACCCTCTCCTTTGTTTTCCCCCTACCATCCCTTCCCTCCCCACCTCCCCAACTTCTCTCCCGCCCCAAGCTGTAAAGACAATGGGTCAACCTGTATTTTTTTTTTTTTTTTTGCCGGTCATGGGGCCTGAACTCTGGGTCTGGGCGCTGTCCCTCAGCTCTTCAGCTCAAGGCTAGTGCTCTACCACTTGAGCCACAGCGCCACTTCCGGCTTTTTCTGTTTATGTGGTGCTGAGGAATCGAACCCAGGGGCCTCATGCTTGCAAGGCATGCACTCTACCGCTGAGCTACCTTCCCAGCCCTCAACCTGTATTCTTATTTCAACATACTGTTATTTCCCTTCCCCTCCCCAAATTAGAAAAATGTACATACAAGATGCAGGGCACCGGAATTAAATACAGTGAAAACAGGTTATACCGCGGGGGAAGAACATACAAAAGAAACAAATCTAGATACTTCTTATCAGAGGACTTGTACAGTATTTTTTCCTGTGGTTGACTTCCCTAACTAAATATTGGGTGCAACAAACATCTGGCTGCACTCTTGAGCTTGCCAGGCAGATGTTCTACCACTTGAGCCATGCCCTCAGTCCCTCTGACTATACTTTTTTGTTCTTTTTTTGGTCAGCTCAAGGCGAGAGCTGTACCATTTGAGCCACAGCACCACTGCTGGCTTTTTCAGCTTATGTGGTGCTGAGGAATCGAATCCAGGGCCTCATGCATGCAAGGCAAGCGCTCACCACTGAGCCACCTTCCCAGCCCTAACTATTCTTTTTGACCAATGAGAAGGGAGTGTCATAGAGTCATTGAAAACTGATAACGTTAGAAATGGTGAGGAGGCCTGAGGAAAGTAATGCTTGAGTCCACAGGAAGGAAGGGCTAGTGAAGAGAGGCACATGAGACAGGAAAGTGAGAGACCCTGGATGGGAGACGGGCTCCAGGGGAGTGCAGTGTGACAAGCGCAGCCTTAGCCAAGGTTGGCCAGCAGAGCCTTGGGAGCATCTGTGTCAGGAAAGGCCAGTCAGAGGACTTGATGGAAGAAAACAAGCATAGGAAGCAGATATGTTTTAGGAAAGCTATATTTAGAGCAGGGGAAGAAAGGGAAGAAGGAAGGAACAGGCAGATGGTGTAGTGCATGTGCAGGACAGGAGGCTCCCATGGTACACAGCTTCTCATCCAGAACAATGTTCTCAGCACTAAGGCGGCACCACAAATGTGGCTACAGGTTACTGTTTGAGAATGGTCCCACTGAGTTTGTGTCACAGTGAAGACCCGCCCTATATCAAGCCCTTGGGAGGACGGGTCTTTAAAATAGCCACAGATCAAACCCTGATAGTAAAAGAAACAAATCTTCTCTTTGAATTATAAATCAGAGAAGCTTGAGTGAGATGAAGTTAACTCAATTTCTCATGTGCCATTTTCCTAAGAGTTCTGTGTTGGTATTTATTAATTTATTGATGATGCTGGAGACTGAACCAGGGCTTGTTTCTTGCTAAGCAGGCACCTACTTCAGTCACTTTTCCACACTCTTTTTGCATTATTTTTGAGATAAGGTCTCAATTATGCCCAGGCTAATTTAGACTTCTGTTTGTGCTTCCCCCTTTTTTTTTTTTTTTTTTTTGTCAGTTATGAGGCTTGAACTCTGGGCCTGGGCGCTGTCCCTCAGCTCTTCAGCTCAAGGCTAGCCCTCTACCACTTGAATCGCAGCACCACTTCTGGCTTTTTTTTCTGTTTATGTGGTGCTGAGGAATCAAACCCAGGATTTCATGCATGCAAGGCAAGCACTGTATCACTGAACCACCTTCACAGCCGCTCCCCCCCGCCTTTCTTTGTGCCCGTACTAGGGCTTGAACTCAAGGCTGGGGCTCTCTCGTCCTTAGCCTTTGTCACTCAAGGCTGGTGCTCTATCACTGGAGCCACAGCTCCACTTCTGGCTTTTTGGAGGTTAAGTGGAGCTAAGAGTCTCTCCTGCCTTGACTGACTTGAAACCTGGATCCTTACATCTGAGTCTCCTGAATAGCTAGGATTACAGGCATCAACCACTTGTGCCAGCTCCTCTGTTGATTTTCATTGGAACAAAGAAATGAATAGGAAGTAGTGGGATAAAAGATGAAAATGTGATCACTTTTTTCCTTTTCTTTCTTTTTTTGGTCAGCTGTGCGGCTTGAACTTGGCCTGGGCGCTGTTCCTGAGCTCTTCAGCTCAAGGAGAGAGTGCTCTACCACTTAGTTAATTGGAGATAAGAGTCTCATGGACTTTCCTCTCCTGGCTGGCTTTGACCCGAGATACTCAGAGTTCAGCCTCCTGAGTAGCTAGGATTACAGGCATGAGCCACTGGCATCCGGTGTGATCACTTCTTAACCTTGTCACTAGGGGTAGTCTTACCAAATCTTCAAAGGGACCAAAGGTCCTAAGTTTGAGCAACATTGTTCAACCCACAGTCCCAGAACCAGGGGGAGGACAGGAAGAGCTTCTGCATAAGAGACTGTAATATTCATGTAGTATGGACTTCCTAGCTCTCAGGAAGGGCCCTCAGTCTGTCTTGTAGAAGTGTCACAAACAGACGCCTTTCTGGTTCTTGAAGTGTTTGGCCTTTCTTGTTTGTTTTTTTGGGTCCAGTCATGGGGCCTGAACTTTGGGCCTGGGCGCTGTCCCTCAGCTCTTCAGCTCAAGGCTAGCGCTCTACCACTTGAGCCACAATGCCACTTCTGGCTTTTTTCTTTTTGTTTATGTGGTGCTGAGGAATCGAACCCAGGGCCTCATGCATGCAAGGCAAGCACTCTACCACTGAGCTACCTTCCCAGCCCCGTGGCCTTTTTGTTTGTAAGGAGCGCTTTGAAGGTGTGCCTGTTACTGTGATGCCAGCAGCAGCACGTGGGGCACATGGCCGTCTCTGTGGAATGTGTTCATGATCTGGCCAGCACTGCCTCAGTGCGCAGGGCACTGCTGTTGCACGCGCAGTGTTTGCCTGATTTAACTATTGGTAAACTGCGCAGGGGGATGTGCCCTTTCACCATTGGATTGATGGAGTTTGGCATTGAAGATGTTTTATGTCATTACAGGGTTTGGGGTTTTGATAAGGAAAGAATGACATCTTTTACCATTTTCCTCAGTTTGTACTGACCTTAAAGTTCTCATGCATTACTAGGTTGGAGACACGTATGGTAAGGATATTCCCTCCAGGGGCAAAGACAAGCCGATTGCCGTATGTAACACTTTCAATCGACTTCAGCCTCAAGCTTTATCTGTTCTCTCATTTCACTTAGTTTCCCGAGGGATCCTTACTAAGCCTCAGCTTCCTTGAGTGTTTTATATCTTAACTCACTCAAGGAGGGGTTTTGCTTGATGAAATGAGCTTTTGTTGGAGCGTAATAGTTTACCTACCAGCTTGATTAAAGCAGGTTCCAAACTGCTGCTCCCTCCTTCCAAGTGACAGGAGGGACTAGTGGAGGCCCCGCTCGTGTGGTGCGGAGAACATGGGGGTGGCCATGTGCTGAGCTGGGGCAGACTAACCTTACTGCCAGGCCTTCTCTCTCTGCTGCGGTGTCCTGTGTGGTGGGCTGTCTGGGGCAGCGGGGCGGTGCTGGTGAGTTAACCCAGCTGTGCTTCAGAGGGGTTGGAATCAACTTGGATGCTGTGGTGATTCTTGGTCAAGCTTGTGCATGCACCAACATTTAAACAATGTCATTTATAAAAAGCTGTTGTGTGGGATGTTTCCTTTTCAGATACATGATACCAGTTGCATGGTTTAAAGCACTAGGTTGGGAGTTGTGTGCATTTCACCTCTGTCTGGGGATGTGTTTTATAAGCTTAGCAGTTTAGACACTGTTGGGCATTTTTTAATACACGAAAAGATTTTTTACTTTTAACAGATGGGAGGAAAACTCACGTGTAGCTAAAAATTCTCTCCAAATGTGTAGTCAGTATGCTTTTCCTCTGTAACTATTTCAGAAATAGCTGCCTGCAGGCCAGCTCAGAGGCCTAGCTATGTTTGAGGAGTGGCAACAGTGCCAGGGTGGTTGGCACTTGTCATCATCGGGTGGCATCCCTTCCACACGCTAAGCTCCCCCGGGGAAAGAGGGAAGGGCCTAGGTAGCAAACCAGTTGAGTCCCCACTTTGTGCCAACGACTAACAAGCATTTATTCTGAGCTAGTGAAAATCTAAATCTAAACATGTTGAACTTAACCTATAAAGGAGCTTAGTAGGGCTTTTAAATTGGATCTGCTTTGGGGAAGCTGGGAGACCACAGTTTTACAGAGTACCACTTTTGCATGCTCATAACAGATAATTGGATTTCTGGCTGCAAACAGCATGATGGAAGGAAGGAGGCTGAGTGGGAGCTGGTTGGTGCCTCCTCAGCCTCAGATAGCTTCTTCTGCTTCCCCTTCCCACAAGTCACCCACTGCCCCAAGCGCGCTGATCCTGGAGGGCTGAGGGCGGCAACAGGCACGTGGCCTGCCAGCAGTTAGAAGTGTATTCTCCATGCTCAGATCATTTTCTGAATGATTCTGTGTTTCCTTGTTACAGGATGTATTCTTAATTTGCTTTTCCCTTGTGAGTCCTGCATCATTTGAAAATGTCCGTGCAAAGGTAAGTGGGGGTTTAAAGGGTACATGTTGCTACATAGTATCAGAAAGAAATTTTTTAAAAATGAGATGCTGTTTACTGCTAGTAAGTTTATTATTTAAATTGGTTTTAGTAGTCTTCTTCCTTCTAAGTACAGTGGCTGTGGACTGATAGAGCTGTGTGCCACGTGGAGGACAGGTGTTCCTCACCAATTTTGAGTTGTCCGATTATTTTCTTTCTTTCTTTTTTATTGGTCATGGGGCTTGAACTCTGGGGCTGGGTGCTATCCCTCAGCTCTTCAGCTCAAGGTGAGCACTCTACCACTTGCTACAGCTCCACTTCTGGATTTTTGAGTGGTTTATTGGAGATAAGAGTCTCACGGAGTTTCCTGCCTGGGCTGGCTTTGAACCAGGATCCTCAGATTTCAGCCTCCTGAGTAGCTAGGATTACAGCTGTGAGCCACTGATGCCTGGTATCCGATTATTTTCGACTCCAGTATCTTTTCCCACGCTAGGGGAAACAAGTGACAGACCCCGGTGTGGTAGCAGATGCACAGGTCACATCCCTGAGAGATGATGAATTTTCTGACATGTCCTAATAAGAGTTGGGACTTGTTTTCCCCACAACAAAGTGACTTTCCTTTTGGGGTACTCTCTCATTCACCCCTTCTTTCCTCCTGTGACCTGGGTGCCTGTTCTTCACATCCTTCATCTTGGGGGTCTGTCTTGCTGTGTAGAAGGTGGGACGTGCATGTGGGCTGGGGGCTGCAACCTGGTGGTAGAGTGGAGGGAGATGTTACAGCCTCATTCTTTCCCTAACCTCTCTAGTGGTATCCAGAAGTGCGACACCACTGTCCCAACACCCCCATCATCCTAGTGGGAACAAAACTCGACCTTAGGGATGATAAAGACACGATTGAGAAGCTGAAGGAGAAGAAGCTGACGCCCATCACCTACCCGCAGGGGTTAGCCATGGCTAAGGAGATTGGTATGAACAATCCCACCTAGTTGGGTTTTGTTGTTATTTTTGGTGTGGTGGGGATTGAACCTGTGACTTTAGGAATGCTAGGAAATCCTGCATTTATCACGTGTATTGTTCTATGGTGCAGTAGCACCTCCTTTCTACTCAGGGCTGGATTGGTTTTGGGGGGCCCCTGTGGTCTCTGTGTTAGCCTTGGGGAGGCAGAAGCAGAGTTGGGTTGGCTGTGCCATGCTGCTTGTGCAGAAGGTGCCAGGGCTGGGGCTTGCTGCCTGCCATTTGTGCCATTGGGGACCAGAAGAGTCGGGTAGTATCAACCGTGTGATGGCATTTCCCCACAGGTGCTGTAAAATACCTGGAGTGCTCGGCTCTTACCCAGAGAGGCCTCAAGACAGTGTTTGACGAAGCTATCCGTGCGGTTCTCTGCCCACCCCCCGTCAAGAAACGGAAGAGAAAATGCCTGCTCTTGTAAACGGCCGTGCTCCTCTCGCTCCTGCCCCTGGGACCCTTTGTACGCTTTGCTCAAAAACAGTGGAGCCTTCGCACTCAATGCCAAGTTTTTGTTACAGATTAATTTTCCATAAAACCGTTTTGAACCAATCAGTAATTTTTAGGTTTTCTTTTAAATGTAAGAGTTCAAACTCACATTCTATTAAAATTTAGCCCTAAAATGACAAACCTTCTAAAAGCCTTATTTTCAAAAGCCCCTACTTTTGCTCAGATTAAGAGTTGCCAAAATACCTTCTGAACTAAGTTGTGTTGTGCTGAGAACACTAAGCACTAAACTGTCAAAAGGCCTGGCTGGGCCCTGAGGAGACCTGCTGCCAGAAGCACCTGGCTCTCCCAGTAGGCCCATGCCTGGCAAACAGCGAGCCGCTGCACCTCCTCCGCGCCATGTTGCCATTAACACATCCTAACCTTGTACTGTACGTCCTCATGGAGGAGCCGTGTGACACTCAGCTCCTTAGAGCAGTCTTTTTGATTCTGTAGTGAGTTAAAAAAAATCAGTTGCCTCACTTGTGTGGTGAACCGGAACAGGACTCATGTGGTGTTTCCTCTAATGACGTGTTCTGTTCTAGTTGTGAGTGCACTGGGCAGAGTGGTGACACACGACGTGATGGCAGGATGAAGACAGTATTTGACAAAGTCTGAAGTGGAGATTCCTTTACACTACCTTGTATACGAGTAATTCAGCTGAAGAAGTGTCACAGGAAAAGGTTTTTAACGGTTCATTTCTGTCCGATACAGTAGACGATGAAGGTCAGCGTTGCCAGTGTCTCGTCTTAAACGTTTCCTTTATCCTACCTGCCGTCCCTCCCCCTATGGGGCATTGCACTCACCTTTGAACTCGTCATTCCCTCCTTGCTAACTTAGGAAGTGCTTTTCTTATAGATCCCCTTCTTAATGAGCAATATGCTTCCTACTTGTACTATAAAATCTTTCAAATAATGCATTAGAAGTTTTTTTCCTTCGTAGATTAGCAAAAGTGCACTCCCGTTTTCACATTACTTTACTCAAAGCTAATAAGTGCTTTCCTTAGTTTTCTAGTAACTTAGGTGTAAAAATCATGTGTTGCAGCTTTACGGTTTTTAAAATATTTTAGATATTCTTAAACTATGAACCTTAACATCACTTACTGTCTTGCCAGATTGCCAGCACTGTCATGTGACTAATCCCGGCCCTCCCTCCCCACGCGGACACTTCCTGCCGCGCTCCGCCCACCGTGTTCCCCGGGGTCTGAGTTGTGTAACCCACTAGTCCTGACTAGTTCTGTACACCTTAACTCGCCAGCAGGAGCACAATGTTGGACCTTTCAACCACTAAAACAAAAAATTTTTTAAATTGACAGTTGCAGAATTGTGGAGTGTTTTTACATTGATCTTTTGCTAATGCAGTTAGCAGTATGTTTTGCATGTATGACTTAATAAATCATTGAATCATAATGCTGGTGATACTTGAGGGTTTTTTTTTTTTTTTTTAGAACTTGATGAATAAGCTCCTGGTGTGTGTGTTTCACTTTAAATCTGGGTTGATAATTGCTTTCACTCGGGAGGGGTGGGAGAGGCCATTGGGTACAGTTGGGAGGGCTCAACCTCGGCACAATGGGGCCTGAGGGACTTAGGCCTGCTGACTGGTTGAGATGCTCACGGGGAGATGCTCGTGCTGGGGCACACACACGCGCTCATGCGTGTGTACCTGTGAGTCTGCATGCACACCTCAGACCTACCTGAACTCCAGGAGTCCTGGCAGGGCAGAGGCTGCACAAACTATACCTTAACATCCTTTCTGGAGCCTGAACTTTTACTCTCTAAAGATCATGCTAGACTCGGTTTCCCTTGAGGTTCCTTATATTTTTGTTTTTTGTCGGTAGTGGGGCTTGAACTCTGGGCCTGGGCGCTGTCCCTCAGCTCTTCAGCTCAAGGCAAGCACTCTACCACTTGAGCTACAGCGCCACTTCTGGTTTTCTGGTGGTTTATTGGAGATAGGAGTCTCACTGTCTCTCCTGCCCGGGCTGGCTTTGAACCGCAATCCTCAGATCTCAGCCTCCTGAGTAGCTAGGATTACAGGCGTGAGCTACCAGCGCCAGGCGGTTCCTTATATTTTTAAGACTTAATTTTTACCAAAGGCAAGTAAGAAAGTGATAAAAGTTGCCTTTTTTGACGGTACTGGGAATTGTGTTTTGAGTTTGTTCCAGAAGGAGCAGTCTTCCCCTGCCCTCCACAGAGGCAACACTTGGCAGCTGGTTATCATTTTTTATTATCTCCCACTCATGTAATAAACCACAAGCTTTTCATTTGATTCCTTCCAATCCAGCCCTCTAGGAAGGAGGCCACGGTGGAATCTCAGCATTGATTTGGTCACTGTGCAAACTACTCCATAATAACCATTCCTTTCTTTTACTTCTGGTTTCCTTTGGGATAACTTAGTTTTCTGTGTGCTTTTAATGAGCTGAACCTTCAGCTTATCTAAAAAAATTTTTTTTGGTTGGTGCTGGGGCTTGAACTTGGCCTCGGCACTGTCCTTTAAGCCTTTGTGTTCAAGGCGAGTGCTCTACCATTTGAGCCACAGCACCACTTCCAGTTTTTTCTGAATAAGTTTTTGGAGATATGAGTCTCACACTTTCCTGCCTGGGCTGGCTTTAAACTATGGTCCTTGGATCTCAGCCTCCTGAGTTGCTAGGATTACAAGCGTGAGTCACCAGTGCCTGGCTTTAAGTCTTGAGGGGGCTGGGAAGTTGGCTCAGTGGTAGAGTGCTTGAATGCGTGAGGCCCTGGGTTCAATTCCTCAGCACCACATAAGCAGAAAAAGCCAGAATTGGTGCTGTGGCTCAAGTGGTAGAGCGCTAGCCTTGAGCTGAAGAGCTGAGGGACAGCACCCAGGACCAGAGTTCAGGCCCCATGATTGACTAAATAAATGAATGAATCTTAAGAGGTATGTTTTGATCTTCCTAAGTCTTGGTCACATGACCACATCTTTCTTGTATGTTAACCTTCTGTTTCTTACATACAGATTCCCATATTTTATCTTTCTCAATGAGTAGCCTTCTGGAAAGTGTAATGGAAGTATTTTTGAGTTCTGGGATCTTTGACAAGAGCCATTCTGCTCTTAGGTGGGGTCTAAATTTCCAGGTTGGTAATCCTTTCAGATTTCTTTGTAGTGGTACTAGGGTTTGAACTTAGGGGCTCAGCAAGGATTCTGCTACTTGAGCCATGTCCTAAGCCATTTTTGCTTGAGTTTACTGATTAGAGGGACTTGTACTTTTTTGCTGGGTGTAGCTTCAGACCACAACCATCCTAGTGCCTACACATCTGCTGGCTGAGATTACAGGTATGCTCTACTAATACCCAGCTGGTTTGAGATGGAGGCCTTTAATTATACCTTGACTGGCCTTGAGCCACGATCCTCCAATCTTGCTTCAGATTTCTGAAGCTAGTTCTTCCACTGTCTTGCTTAGCAATTTCCAAGATATCAGGGTTTGCTGACTGCTTCCTTCATAAACTTCCATGTCATCAAGTTGATGTCCAGCTATCCGTGGTCCTTCCATCTGGAAGTGCATTGTCTCCACTTTCTGACTTCTGTGATGCTTGCTGACCTCATGGTTTCAGTTCTTCGCCTCCTGGGGTCGGATCTCTGTCCTCACGGCAACGGGATCACTTGGAGCTTCTGGTCACTTGTCACTGTCAGTCTTGTGCTCTGGTTGGAGGTGGAACACACTACACACTGGGGGGTGGTCTTGGTGATGCAGGTGCACAGCCCCCCCTTACACCCCTCCCGCCCCCGCATCCCTGGAAGCGCAGGAACTGGAGGGATCCTTGTAGCATTCTGCTGTGAGCATTCCAACAGAGCTTTGAAAAAAGCCTCCTACAGGTTTTTAAGTCTTTTAAGGTTTATTTTGGGTTTTGTTGTTGTTGGAGATGATCTTACCATGTAATTCAGGCTAACCAGAACATTCCATCCGCTTCTGCCTCCTGAGTATCCCCGGACTATAGGCATGTGATACCACATGGTTTCCCTTTGAAGGTTTCTCAAAGCTGTTTGGGCCCCAGAGGTCCTGGAGCTCAATGGGAGGAGCCAGGGAGGCCTTCCCCTTTCCTCAGCTCCACTCACAGCCTCGGCAATCTTACCTCGTTCCACCCTCACCCCTGTGGGACTCATTCCTGTGTCTCCCTGACATGCTACTGCTCATCCTTTCCCCATTCTGATGGACAAGTCTAAGCTTCTAAGAGACATCTTTGTCATTGGGCTTTTGGTGGGTGAAATCCAGTACTTGTGCTGTCTGTAGCCAGAACACCAGGAAAACTTAGATGTTTCATTTTTGTTTATAGTAGACAGACCCTACTTCAAACATGAATGTAGAAACTACCCAGTAGGCCTTGCTGGGAACACTGGATAGATGTAATGATGGGCAAGTGCTTTATTAAAGTCTATAGCTGTCCCTGAGCCAGACAGGCCTCCAGCCCAGAATAATGCATGAGGATGAGGTGATCAGCTCCCATAGGATCATCTCCTGCCTTGGGGGGAGGGGGTGGGGAGGGGGCAGAGCTGAGCTCTCCTTGCCTCCATTCTTCATTCCAGGCTGGAGCTCAGGGCTGCCCTTAACACCCTCAATCAGGGGAGGGCCTGGTTAAAAAAATAGTGCACATCTTTCATCCAAGTTCAGACTTGTCCAAATAGATTGAGGACAACACCCTGAGGGGAGAGGCAACAGATCCACCGAGGGTCTTCAAACGCCGTTGGATCCCCCCGCTTCTAAGGCAGTTCGCAGATGGACCAAGGGGGTGGGAGGGCTTCCTGCATGGTGCGGGCTCAGGAGCTGCCTGTGCACTCCCAACTCCTGAGCCTGTTAATACTATGAAAACTTAGTTCCTATACGTTGCTCGGTCATTTGAAAGCCCTGAAGTCCTGCTGATGGCCTCATAGAAGTTCCTCACACCTTAAGTCAGCCTGAGAACAGGTGCGGGGGTTAGCCCTGTGCCACAGGCCTGGTCACACCATGTCTGCATCTGAGCCTCCTTGGCTGGGACAGGAGAGGCAGACTCCCCTGTCAGCCACCACGCTGGCCAGGGCCTTCATCAGGATGTCGGGCATGTGGTCTGTCAGCATCTTGGGGCCGATGAGAATTTTGCCAAATGCTGATTCATGGGCCCACCTCGCCCTGTACTGAGCTGCAGAACAGCAGCCAAACCTTCAGACAAAAACAAAACAACGCTGGCTAGCAAAACGTCAACCTGGAGCCTCTGTGTCACACACATACACACACAGGCTAGCCCTAGAGACAAGGGACACTCACCTCCCTGTGGCACCCTCTTCTTCCAGGTGGATGATCCTGCCAGGAGGGTACAGAGGTGGGTACTTGGGGGAAGAGTCCAGGGGGGAGTCGCTGGAGAAGCTGTAGGCTGAGGAAGAGCGCGCCAACAGACTCTGCTCCCCCAGAAGGGGCTGTGTCAGTGCACCCTGGCTTCCCCCATCCAGCTCGGTTGCACAATTAGAACTGCTCCCTCCAAACAGCTCGTACCAGCAGCCGTGCAGCAGGATCTTGTACTGCAGGTGGGACCACAGGACAGAATGTGGCGTCTCTGCCTCATGCTGAGTGCTAGGTACAGCACCCTAAGGTATCCTGTGGGGTTCTTGAGCTATGAAACCCTATTTAAACCCCTTCCCCCACTTTGGCAGTGCCAGGGCTTAATCCCAGAGCCATGGCCATGTAGGCCAAATCACATCTTCAGCCCAGACAAATGACCCTTAATTCTTTTCAGGCAATTTTGCAAATGAGCTTTACCTTAAGCATATTAGATACTACTTTCTTTTTTCTCTTTTGGGGAGAGGAAGAGGATGAGGGTGCTGGACATTGAACCCAGGGCCTTGCACATATTCAAAAAGCATGAATACTCAGTTACATTTCTATCATCATTTTGACAACTGTAATATTCACAGAGTAAATATTCTGATATCCTTTGGTGTTTTTTGTTTTTTTGTTTTGCTGCTACTGAAGGCTTGAAATCAGTATGTTGTACTTGCTTGGTTGGCCTTCTATCACAACTCCAGCTCAGTTATTTTCTGGTTATTTTGGAGATAAAAATCTTGGTAACTTCTGTCCAGGGTGACCTCCAACTACTATCCTCCAAAACCCAGCCTCCAGAATAGTAAGGATTATAGGTGTGAGCCATGGACATGCAGCATATAAATCGCTTAAACTCAGTATTTGGCGGCCTTATTTCCTTTTTTTTTTTGGGTCCGGTCGTGCGGCCTGAACTCTGGGCCTGGGCGCTGTCCCTCAGCTCTTCAGCTCAAGGCTAGCGCGCTCTACCACTTGAGCCACAGCACCACTTCTGGCTTTTTTCTTTTTGCTTACGTGGTGCTGAGGAATCGAACCCAGGGCCTCATTTCCTACACCTGAGAACAATATATAACCAAGAGCACCAGAATACTGTCTGTCCCAAGGCAGGATGAAGTATGGTGGAAGGCAAGGCATTTCAGCACACAAGGCTGGTTCCTTTCTTTTCCTAATTACATGTATTGTGTCTGAGGTAGCCATTTTCTACCTTAGGCAGCACATAGTCCTAGACACGAATCTGTTCAGAAGGAGAATGTCAAACAACAGCATAACATGCACTAGGCCCCAGAGGCTGCTCCTCCCAATTCCCATAGACCCCCTCAACCCCAGCACCCACATTACCTTTGGCTTATTACAGTGAGCAATCACTCGCAAGATTCTCTTCTTCAAATCTTCCATGTTGGACACACTAAGCCTGTTTAACAAAAGATCAGACACTGAGGCACAGAACTTGGTGGATTTTTGTTTTATGCTGGTCCCTGAAATTTCTTGTTGACAGCTAGTGCTCTATCACTTGAGCCACAGCTCCCCTTCTAGCTTTTTAGTAGCTAAATCAAGAGACTTTCCTGCCTGGGCTGGTTTTGAACCACAGCTTCCTGAATAGCTAGGATTACAGGCACCCAGCTTGGTGTTTTCTTTCAAAAACCCTCCCCAAAGCCAGGCGTCAGTAGCTCACACCTGTAATTCTAGCTAGTCAGGAAACTGAGATCTGAGGATTGCAATTCAAAGCCAACCCTGGAAGGAAAGTAACCACCAGAAAACTGGAAGTGGTGCTGTGGCTCAAGTGGTAAAGCGCTCACCTTAAGCAAAGAGCTGAGGGACAGCGCCTAGGCCCAGAGTTCAAGCCCCACGATCAACCAAAAAACAACAACAACAACAACCCTCCCCCAACCCCAGACCAAACCAATCATCCCACATACCAACCTGGGGATCACATCCTTTCCTAGGATGAGTGACACAATGAAGTCCTGGGAGTATTCATAGAGGGACTTACTGAAAGGTCAAACAAGAGAAGCTAAGTTAGTCTGGTTTTGTGGTCACAGGGGAGACTCGAGTAGAGGGGAGATGGGCAACTCACTGATCAGGCACGGTGGAAGCCCTCACCCATTCAACAGAGAAAATACCCCAGCACTGAATGATGGAGTACTTGCACTGTGCCTTCAATGCAGCCACCCCTCCTGGTGGGAGCGGCCTAGTGTACTGGCAAACAATATAAGCAGGCAGAAAGGAAAGAGCTTCGTCCAGCCACACACAGAAAAATGAGTGATACATATGTAGATAATGTCAAAGCTGATTCAAACAGAAAGTTCTCATGGTATGTATAGTTTTTCTGTGTTAAGACAGATCTGCCCAAATTCCTATGCTCAAGTGATTCTCCTATCTCGGCCTCCTGAGCAGTTGAGACTAAAGGGACAGGAAGTGGCGCTGTGGCTCAAGCGGTAGAGCGCTAGCCTTGAGCTGAAGAGCTGAGGGACAGCGCCAGGCCCAGAGTTCAGGCCCCACGACCAACAAAAACAAAAAACAAAACAAAGGGACATGCATGTAGCCTTAGCCATACTCTCCTTTTCTTTCTTTCTTTTTTTTTCCCCCTAGCCCAATGCTTTTATTTATTTTTCCCTCAGCTCTTCAGCTCAAGGCTAGTGCTCTACCACTTGAGCCACAGCACCACTTCTGGCTTTTTCTGCTTATGTGGGGCTGAGGAATTGAACCCAGGGCCTCATGCATGCAAGGCAAGCACTCTACCACTGAGCCATCTTTCCAGCCCCCATACTCTCCTTTTCTTGCCTTTTTTTTTTTTTTTTGGTCTCAGTACTGTCCCCTGAGCTCTTTTGGCAAGGCTAGTGCTTTACCACCTTGAGTTACAGTGCCACTTCTAGTTTTCTGGTGGTTAATTGGAAATAAGAGTCTCATGGACTTTTCCTGTCTGGGCTGGCTTTGAACTGTGATCCTCAGATCTCAGCCTCCTGAGTAGCTAGGATTACAGGCGTGAGCTATTGGGCCCAGCTTATTCTCTGCTTTTCCTTAAGCTTTCTGTTTGGGTGTTTCTTTTTTTTGGGAGGGGTCCGGTCGTGGGGCCTGAACTCTGGGACTGGGCGCTGTCCCTCAGCTCTTCAGCTCAAGGCTAGTGCTCTACCTCTTGAGCCACAGTGCCACTTCCGGCTTTTTTCGTTTTGCTTATGTGGTGCTGAGGAATCGAACCCAGGGCCTCAGGCATGCAAGGCAAGCACTCTACCACTGAGCCACCTTCCCAGCCCCAAATGGTAT